ACCAAGTTAGAGTGAAGACATTGGCCACATAATACACATGCTCCAGTTTTAAAAAAATTTCTGAATCTTGGGCAACTGTTCTCTTGTTAACTACTTTACAGTTTCTAAAAGCAGTTATTGTCCAAAGCTGGAAGAACTTAAGTCTTCTCAGATGAGCATGTGAATGAATGGAGGGAGGTAAACAAAAAATAAAATTAAAAAAGATGAGGTCTGATAGGGGAGCAGCCGGATAAGAAAATCAAAAAAGGAACAGTAATTTAAAGTTTATTCCAGCTATAATGCAGGTTATTCTGACTTTAAGGTAGCATCACATGGCATACTTCTGAGTCCATTCCCGAGATATTCTGTTGTACCTGTAAATAAACAAATAAGCTATTAAAAAATAAAACTGAAATAGAGAATTATTAGTATTGTAAAGGCAACGAGAACATTTCTATGTTACCCGTGGATTTATCATGTCACCTGTAATGGCAGAATAAGAGACAACAAGAGATAGAAATAGCAGCACCAGTATTCAAAGCAGTGTGGAAGATGAGAGCCACAAAATCAGTGTTCTCTTAATAAGACTGGTGCTGAGATTGGGAGGCTTAACAAGGACCTCCCCCATCAATGAGGTGGTATTCTATCAAACTTTCAAGTTGGTTGTATAGTCTGACAAATTTTTACACCAAAAAAACCCTCCAGTCTACTATTGTCAGAATATTATGTATACACATGTTGCATATCAATAGAAGTTTTGGCCAAGGTCAGAACTAATCATACATACACTGTTACTGAAAATTGAATCTGAAACCTAGATTGAGAAGTCAGTTGGGTATCGAAAGAAAATGCCTTTAAACTTAGGAGACATTGGAAAGGGTGATAAAAACAGTAATTTTCAAGGAGCAGGCTTCAGTGGTTATTTTAAAAGTTTAGTAGTAGTGACTGCTGTTAATCTCCACTGAAACCTGCTGAAGAATGGGACTCTCCAGGAGTGCAACCACATTTCTGTTCAAAAATAACAATTCATCAGTGAGCCAGGTTATTACTGAGGAAGATCACTAATACTGACCATTTCTCCCTATAGTACATACTCACATCATACAAGCTTTTTACTTCATCCCAACAAAAAAAAAAAAATGACAAAAGCTTAAGAAATGAGTATATAACAAAGGATAGTGGAAAACTTTTAACAATATTACTAGTTTCATCTCAAACCAAGTGTATACAGTTCAACTATTTTTCTACAGCTCAACATATAAAAAAACTTTTTTCTAGCAATTCAGAGTTACAGTGTTTAGAAAACCCTCTTCAAACAGCCAGCACTTTAAAACAAATGTTTTAGCATACAAAGAGCCACAAAATACAGCTAACATTAATTCATGCTTGTCAGTACTGAACATTTAGTTTGAAAGCTGAGGTTTAAGTGTTTTCCTTTATATTACTACTATCTTCCTGGTAAAATCTGAGTAAAACCACCACATTGCATAGTATTGAGACACAAGGTTTATAAACACCATAGTTATTTAATAAGGATACATTTCTACTATATAACTTTTATATACATATACACTATATACACATTTCAGCTATATAACTGCTTTGCCATGCAAGAATAATCTCAAGCAGTAATGAAGACTATGTATATACTTTCACACTAAGAGATCAAGCAGTTAAAGTAGTTTTCAGAAAACTGCCATATCTGTTACCTTTGGTTAGTTAATACAGTGCTTTAAAGCATGCAGCACTCAAGTGCTGGCAGTACCATAAATAAGCGCACCATAGAGTGCAGATCCTCTTACCCTACAACATAGCGTATTTCTCTGTCCACTCTCTTGCTAACCTATTGTACCTAATTGAACAAGCACACTTAGCATTAATTATAACATACGAAAGTTAAATGGTTAAGGTGAACATATAATTCAAATATTTAATACAGACCAAAAATTTTCCATTAGTACTAATTTTTTTTGAGAAACATTGAAGAAAAGTGCTTTATTTCCCCAAAAGTAATTATGCAAGTATTTAAAACATTAAAAAATAAACATTTCAAAAGAGCTACTCACTGTCATATACGCTAAGACCATTTATTTATTTGGCAGGGTCTCATTAGGTAGCCCACGCCAGCTTCAAACTTCTAAATGCTCCAGTCTCAGCCATTACGCTGGCCCTTACTGCTTTTCTTAATTGTGTTTTAGTAACTACCTTTCCAGAAACAAATATAAAAAAGTACTGTCACAAATTTCAGCAGAAATAAGTCCAAATTGTTAAATAAAACCACTGTTTACAGTCATTCGCTAAACAACTTCATACTTACTTATCTCTGTCTGTTTTATAGATCCGTGCAATCTCTGGCACTAGGGGGTCATCTGGGTTTGGATCACATAGCAGTGAACAAATGGATAAAAGAACTACAAAATAAAGACAATAAAGTTATGCAGTTTCGAACATGTGGATAAGCAAATGTTAGAACTTAAAAAACGTATTCTAGACCTCAAGTCATACTTTATTAGCCTGCACCATTCTCAAAGTGTTCTACAGAAAACAAGTTTCTATAAATAAGAACTTGTACAACTATTAGAAATGAAAGCCTGTTGGCATTAAAGCCAGTAATAATTAGGCCAAATGTTTTTAAAGTTAGTAGTCAAAAACAAAACACAAAAAAACCCCAAACCAAACAAACAAAAATGACCTATATAATGGGCTTCAATATTTAAGGATTTTCTGGGTACTTTGAGGGAATATAAAACTCTTAGTATTTTAAACAGTTATCACCATGTCCTATTATTTTTAGTGTCAAGGCTGAGCCAAAATAAACACCAAAAATCCCAAAGAGACCCATTCTTTGATCTACTGTAGAAAAAGTTTCTCACGAAAAATACGAGTTGCTTCACTCAATGCTTTATTTTCTGGAATCTGAAGTAGAAACCACTGTCCCTCGAGACTGGTGAAAATGAAGTGTACTTCTGTATTATAGTGAGCCTTCAGTTCTAACTCTTAATAAGGTCTGTTCTATATAGACCTCGAAAATGCCAAGTGTCATACAATACAGATTTTTTTTTGAGTACTTATTATGTTCTAGTCATACATATCAACACAAGCTATCATATATAAATGCCTGAAATGTTTTATTTAAACCACTGGATGAATAAAACAAAACAGCATTAGACAGTTAACTATCACATAAGCCAAAATTGTGTGTGTTAACAGCAGCAAACAATCTCAAATTCAAATGAGTGGGCATAAAAAAATTGTAACATACAGTAACTCAGAAAAAGGTCAGCTTCTAATTCTTGACTTGTTAGCTTAATGTCAAAAAACCAAGTAACTTTTAAGAACAAAAACCCATCAACTCAGTCTGCAATTGAAGAAATACAATTCAGAATCATGGTACATCTAGCAGTTAAAAAAATAAATAAAAACAGGAACCTGGCATTAAGATTATGAAAGCAACACTATTTGAAAAGAGATTTAAAATTTAGGTTAAAAAATTTAGTCTAAAGGAATAAAAACTGCATTTGGGAAATCTGAGTTTGAGGCCAGTCTGGTCTACAAAGCAAGTTCTAGAACAGCCAGAACTGTTAAACAGAGAAACTCTGTCTCGAAAAACCAAAACCAAAAGACAAAAATTGGGAAATATGCTGGACAGTGGTGGCGCATGCCTTTAATCCCAGCACTCGGGAGGTTGAGTTCGAGGCCAGCCTAGGCTACATAGTGAGTTCCAGGATAGGCCCCAAAGATACACAGAGAAACCCTATCTCGGGAAAAAAAAACGGGGGGGGGGGGGGAGATACTGCAAAGTCCCTCTAGAGAGTCAAAAGCATTTTAACAAGCATATAAAGAAATGTCTGTGCGATGTGCTGCCTGTAAACAAAACATACCTGCTTCACTCTGCATTTATTCACAAAACATTTTGGTAAAAAACTAGCAAGAATGATGCATTTCAGCATGGAGTCTGGAAATAATAATGGTTAATACAGAGGTGCTGACATCAGATTGTAATTATCAGCATTAAAAACCTGAAATATTAAGCTAATATCCAAGGCCCGTAAATTACTAAAAGGTAGAGTCTCATTAAAATGTTTTGTGTACAATTTAATTTGCAGAGTGGAATGTCAAAAACCACTTGTCATTTAGAAACCAGCAGCTGAAAGAGGAAACACTATCTCCATCTGGGGTATCCCCAGAGATCTGAGAACTTGTTAAGCATAACATTTCTATTTAAAGTAGATCAGACGACTTTATATAGCAATCTTCCCCAAGTTCCCTAATTATAGAGAATCATTATTAGACACAAAGCAACTATCATAGTTAAGTAACACCCAACTAAAGGTATTTTCAAAAACAGATACAGAAAATCCAAACCAGATGTCTACTAGAGTAGAAAGCTTAAAAGATTTTAAAGCTATATCATGTCTGGATATATTATCCTATCCTTGCTAAAAAGGCGGCTAATAGAGGCTAAAGAGATGGCCCTAGCAATTAAGAGCACATACTGTTCTTAGGGATAACAGTTTGGGTTCCTGAACACCCATTCTTGGTGTCTCACAGCTGCCTGTTAACTACAGCTGCTGGGATCTGGCATTCTCTTCTGGACTCCCAAGAGCACCTGCATTTACATGCACAGACCACCTACACACCCACAATTAGTTTAGTAACAGAAGAACAAAGTTTGTTAAAATTAATTTGAGAGCTAAGGCAATAGCTCAGTAGGTAAGAGCTCTGGCTATACAAACATAAAGACCTGATTTCAAATTCCCAGCTGGAAATAGCTAATTCTGTGTTCTTTTACCCCAGAGCATTGGTGGGTGGAGACAGGTAGACACAAATTATTTGTGCATGCTAGGCAAGTACTCTATATCAACTGAGCTATACCCCAGCCCTGCAAGCAACTTTTTATTAAAATGTTGGCACATTATCCAAGCAGATTCCAAGACAAAGCCCCTTAACTATTTAAAAAAATCAGAGTAGCTGAAAACTACTCCACTGAAACTACTATTTTACCTTTAGAAATAGTTAAAGCAGGAGACCACTGTGATCTTAGAATATCAAGACAAATGCTGCCATTACTGTTAATATTTGGATGATAAATTCTTGTTGTAAATGCAACCTAAAAAAACAAAACACACAGCATAACCTTTAGATAGCCTTTCCAAATAAAACAAGTACCTTAGAACTTAAAAAAAAAAAAAAATCAAGGCATAAATTCTAAATCATACCACTGGAAGGGAGAAGTGACATTACATACATATGAAAATCTCTTAATAAAACCAATTACTTTAGATAATAAAAGCTAATTTCATAGCATAAACCCCGAGAGGCAGGGAAAAGTCATTAATTTAGATCTGAAGGTTAACTCTGGTACTATAGAAACTATCAAAAGGCAATCTGTGAAAGGGCATTTAGGATACTCAAATTACACAGGTACATCATATTCTAATTGTATTTCCACTACAAATACAACAAATTAAAGAGTATAAGCTTTATAACCCAAAGGAGCTATATTACATTGCCTTTTTAACATGACTAAAGGTGGCTAGAAAAATATAATTTAATGCATATTATTTTCTAGTTATCCATATAGCGTGAATTTTATAGTTCCAAAAAGTCAAGGACCATATGCTCTGAACTCATTACTCTACTGCTTCAGGCTACAGAATACCGGGACTACAGGTATTTGCCTTTGATTCTATAGTTTGCTAGATTCTAATACTGTACTGCACTTGAGCACAGAAACATTTGAGCCTTGCCACTTCAAAAAGGCAAATCTTATCTACATTTACAGAATTCAAATCTGTGTCTAATTCTTAATCAGAAGTTAAGAATTGGTAATAGCTCAGTATGGTAGCACATTCAACCTTAGTCCTTAGAACTAGACAGAAAAATTCTAACAGGAGTCATAATGTAACTGCAGCTTAATTCTCTATGTATTATTTTTATTCAATACACAAAGCTTTAGCCTCAATTACTATGAACCTAAATTTCTATGAACACTCGATTCTTCTGAAACAATCCATAAATTACTAACAAATTTCTGAGGGATAATACTTGCCTTAGGTGGTTTGAAGGGGTAGTCTGTAGGAAAATGAATTGTCAAAAAGAATACACCACCTTGATATGGGCTGTCATTCTGTAAAGAGAAAAATAGACTTAATGTCAAGATAATTTTTAAAAGTCCATTTTTCTAATGAACCAGAATTATCTGCTGTTTACACTGCAAAGAAATTAAAATCCCAGCCCTTGTACTACTTTCGTTTTCTCAGCCAAGATCTTGTTTCCTCAAGCTGATCTATCTTATCCTTCTCAAGTACAGGATTATAGATAGATGCCACTAGAGCTCTCTGCAAAATGCTCACTTAAAAAAAAAAACAAAAAAAAACCCCACCTCAGGCTGCAAAACACATAAAAACTGCATAACAAAAAATTTAGGCAACCAAACGGTGGCATCACATGAGTTAGTGAAAATAAATCTATGGGGCTAGTGGGTGAGATGCTTCAGTTGGTAAAGGTTGCCTACCACCCACACCAGATGACCCGAGTTCAATCCCTGGAATCTCAGGCAAGGAATGGTTCAAAGAGAGCTGACTGTCATAGCTGTCCTCTACTTTCACATAGGCACCATGGCACATCCACACTTATGTGCACACTCACACATTATGTTGAATAAAATTAATTCGATAAAAGGATCCAATGCTGAAATTTAGGCAGAGCCAAATACTAAGCAACCTTAAGGGGTTAAAGTATTTCAACGATACACTAAAATTCCACCCAATCAAAACAAAACTCAAACCAAAGGAACAAAAAAATGAATTATTTTGAGCAACTGATTGACTTCGACCTTTGAAACTGAGAATTAACCAATTCTTTAGAATCTTTCTACTTTAGTTTTAAAGTTTCTTTTGCTCCCTTCAAGTATTTGTTCTCTACGGCATTCATGAAATTTTGCAAGTATCTACAGATCCATTTTTTGCTTCTAACCTCTGACCTCATATTTTACAGTCTGTTTTCTTCTATAGTGTATTTATTCACCCCTGGGCACATTTTCAAGCCTACTAAAATATATTATCTACTTCATGACATGCATTCTAATCTCAATACTTCTATGCCTTCCTCAATCCCACCCACTCTTCCTAAACCCCAAGACAAGGGAGAAAACTAGCTAATTCTTACACTCTCATTTGATTGAATTCCAAAGAACTTGAAGATTGTCAGGTATAGTGGTGCTTTTGCCTGCCATCTCTGTACTTGGAAGGCTGAAGCATGTACTTGGAAGGCTGAAGCAGGAGAATTGCTATGAGCCTGAAGGCAGCTTGAGATAGAAGGGTTTTAAGTTCTAGGCCAGGCTTGGTTACATAGAGCAAAAACCTGTCTTCCACCAAAAAAGAACTTAAAAAATTTCTTGCATTAGCTGCTTTTTGGCCATTGCTGCTGTTTGAGCTCAAAGTGTGACTATCTTTTGTCTATATGTTATGGCAATGGCTTATGAATGTATTTTCCTTTCGCTTTAAGCTTTACCTTCTAGTTTATTCCTACACTCTATTGTCAAAATGAATTCTTAGAGATACCACCATGTACCATAGCCTTTAAGTATACTCTACAGTACAGTGTCATGAAGGTAGTACAACTCTCACATTCCTTCCTTCCTCTATTTGGATATCCTGTCGTCTTATTGTAGTGGTATTTGCTCCACCCATGACCTTGGGCTACAGGGTCTGAAGGAGGCAGTACTTCTTACTGTTTTAAGTGACCCATTAAAAGGAAAGGGAGAAGGGTCACATACCTCTTCTCCCTGCTACCTGCGGGGTGAATTCACTCCTGGAGAGATCAGAGGACAACTTCAGCTGTCTACTCCATTCTGTATTTCTGAGTGTATTTCCTCAATTTCTATCTTATTCAATTCCTACTACCCATTACATAGATTCACGTGGATTGATCTTAGTTGCGCCCAAGTGACAAAAAGACCCCACACTCCCTGTGGCTCCTGCCCACAACCTCTGTAAAAGTTAAGCCATGCAAAGATGGAAATTACATAGAGTCTGGAATGTGTTGTCTTTGGAATTAACTAGAAAGAGACATTTGATTGTAAAAGCTGCTGAGTTAAACCAGTATGTGTATTTTAAAGGTATCCTGACTTCAAAATTCATGTCTAAGGATACACTGCTCTGGAAAAGAGGTTCTGCTTTTGTTTCCACATTAGATAAGAACCTGTGCATTGCTTCCAGGCTAATATGGTTTGATATACCAAGACTCCCTGAAAGGTCAAAATAGCCTCACAAACCACTACAGCCAAGATCCCCATAAACTTGCCAGTGCCTTCAACCAGCAGGAAGTGGTATGAGAAGTTACACCCAAATTCCCAAAGTATTGTTTATAAATGTTTATTTTTATTTAAAGGGGGTTGATTATAAATGCAATCTCTAAAGAGGTAAAGGGGATATAGATATGATAGGATAAAAGGGTAGATTATTGAATCTACTTTTAAAGAGCAACAACTTGTTTAAAATGTTTTACATTACTATGGATTTTGGTTTATTGATGCAAATTTGAAGTTGATTTTGTTATACTGTATATATTTCTATTCCTGTTTGGGGTATTATGTTTATGCAGCTCATTTCAAATTGTTGTATATAGTTGAGAAATACAGATTAATAATTGGTCATCTATGATAATCAAACTTGTAGTCATGTTAGTTTTCTACATATACATATATTTCAATTAAGTAGGTAATCTTCAAAGACTTCAATATGTTATATAGACTGGACATGCAGGACACATGGGAAAGTGACCACTAAAGTTTGCCTAAACAAAGCTAGATGGTCCTTTGGGTTGCTGCCTCACAGAGAGTCAACTGCTAGACATTCTGCAGGACACATGGAAAGTGACTGATGAACTTTGCCAATAGGCAAGAGAATCCTTCCAATTTCCTGCTTCACTAAAAAGTCTGCCAGAGACTCTAGGCCTGTAGGCTGAAAATGGATGCCCCAACATTGCAAAGAAACTTTGGGTGACTGTCCAGGCAGCCAGATGTCGCTGACATTTCTAGAACTTTAGAAGTTGCTTATAATGCACTTCCTGTTTACTTAGGTAGTATTATATCCTTATGGGGGCTTTGACGAAATTGAGGACTAGGTAGTAATAATTTTCCTTAGTCATGATAAAAGAGAAATTAGATATGAAACTTTTAGACTCAGAAATAGGATAGATGAAAGAATATTTTCTTTATTTGTTTTGCCAAATACAAATAGACTAGATACTGTAACAGTAATTCTTGCTTGATAACGGTTTAGTTATATATAATTTTATTATGTTAAAGTTAAAACCTTCCTTTTTGATTAGACAGAAAAGAAGTGCTGTGAGATGATTTTCTGTATACTGTGAGTATGTGTGGCTCCCAGTGGATAATAAAGCTGTTTCAGCCTATGGCAAGAAAGCTTACAGCCAGGTGGGAAATCCAAGTGGAGACACAGAAAGAAGAGGGGCGGAGTCAAGAGAGATGCCAGCTGCAGCCAAAGGAGTGACAAGATGTCAGCAGATAGGTGACACCATGGCCCTGTGGCAACATAGATTAATCAATAGGAATGGGTTAATTTAAGATAAAAGGGCTAGCTAGCCAGAAGCTGAAGCCATAGGCCATACAATTTGTAATTAATAATAAGCCTCTGAGTGATTATGTCATAAGCAGCTGTAGGACCAGAGGGCCAGAGGAACAACCTATGGTAGAAAAAACTGCTTCCTTAAAGGGAAGCTCATGATTGCTTTTCACTGCCATACAGAAAACAAAAACAGAGGAAATAAAAAGGATTTGGTGGGATCAGAGATGGTATACTACAGAATATGATCACAGACATATACATTTAAGGAATGACATGTCTTATTTTTTTTGAAAGCAGTGTTAACTATGATATACCAGAAATACAGTAACGCTAATGTATTAAGGCCAAAAATCTAAAATAAAATTGTGATAAAAGTGAATACTTATTTTCAATGAAAAGCAAAATTGAAATACTTACAGGTCCCATAATTGTGGCTTGCCAATGAAACACTAGAAAGGGGAGGAAGGAAAAACAAAACAAAGACTTCATTATTCCAAAAACATACAACCCTTTCTAAAGATAGTCATTAAAAAGAAAAGCAAGTTACTTACTGTCATCTCCAACTGGACCTGCAGAACATTGTGCTGGAGGGTCACGGGCCAAATCACTAAGTTCCTAAACCAAGACAGAAGACGGTAGGTTATGTAGTCTAAATTTAAGAAAAGATATGCACTTAAATAGTAAACTTACTCCCTTAAAGGGACAAGCATTCAGTTTTTTTTAAAAAAAAATCCCATTAGCAGAGAAAGAAATCTTAAGTAATCTTAAATCCAGCTCCTAGAATGCAAAGCATCACTTGCTTAATTAGATGCATGCTAAGAGTTGTAATTAAATTTTTGTTATAGCAACAAAAGCTAACCTCTGGACAAAGTATAGTAGTAGCAAATGCCTTCAAAAGTTGAAAAACTTAGGCAAGGCCAAGGTCAACATATTTGATGAACTAACTTTCCAGACCATCTTAGATGCTCCCTGTTACCTGTCATAAATCCCTTTTCATCCCAAAATCTGACTCCATTTTCCATCTGAAACACCTCTTGTATAGGGTTACATGCCCTTTCCTGATTAATGTAACCTATTAATTCAGTGCTCATTTTTAGCTGTTCTTCAATGACCCGCATGTACATGATGGCACTTTGTATAAAAAAAAAAGTAGTTTCCTTTATTAGACTTACAAAAACCAGTGATACGGTTCTGCCTTACTAGTGTTTTATCATCAAAAAAGATCAAGTACATAAACCCAACCCAATGTTCATGTACTGCTGCCTTCAACACTTACTTACATTTATCTCTATGGCCCAAGTCAGTAAGAGCCATTTCCCTTCAATATCCAATGAATACAGGGGTAGCTTAAGTTCTTTATACCTATCACATCTACATATGGAAGTAGTCCATAAACAGATTCCCACACATCCCCCCCCCCCCAAAAAAGCACTTTTGCTTGCTCTGGGCTCAATCTTCTAACATTAGCCAGTCATCAGACCCTCTCTCTTTCCAAATAGCCCAATTAACATGTATAATATGTTTTGCTCAATTTCTGATTTTAAAAGACAAAGAATCATCTTGGCTTATAACATATCGCATCAATTCATTTAACTGAACACATTAATCTCTCCTCTCAATGAAATTTACTAAACAATTCATAAAGTACGGAATATTCTGAATAAGCACACCTCCCTCAAAAACACAGAAATTTCCAATTTAAATTCCAGAAAATCAACTGCCTTGGCTAAAGAATACAAAGAACCTTAACAGCTCTTATTAAGAGCATATAAACATGGAAAATATCACTGTCCAGTAACCAATTCAAGAAATTAGTAAAAACAATGCAGCTTTTAGTAATGTATTTTGTAGAAAGGGATGCCAGCAGAGAGGAAGGAAAAATAGCTATACTGCTGATCTGACCCAAGACAATGTTTTTTAAATCCCTGACCTCTTTTTTTCATAGGCTGGAGATTCACAATCCAGCAAATTATCCTCCCAACCTCCTACCTGCCCCCATTCTATTGGTTTAGGAGGCAAAACTATTTAATAATGAGTAAGTTTGGGCTTGAGACTACCCCCGTTTCTGACCATGGTTTAATTCACAGAACAGACTGCCTGTAGCTTTCGATCTCCCAGTTTTAAGACAAGCAGGCAGCAGCTGCCAGCAAGGGGAGGAATGGACTAAATAGACTCTTCTGCAACTGGTGAAGTATACCTCATACTGAAAATATATCCTAGTTCTTACATAAACAAGCTATATGATCACCACAGAGGAACAACACACTATCTAGAATATGTCATTCTACTCAGTGTTCTAGAAATCCAGAGACCCTTTATAGCTTATATTACTAACTTCATTTTGTTGGTTTTGGATATAAGAATGTATATGATGTATAAGAATAAAACATTCCATTGTCTCAAGTATGAATATTCTACCATGTGCTATATATATTTAAACACTTTAAGCATAAAACCATACACACTTGTTTTGTTTGAGACAGGGTTTCATCATGTAGTCCTGGCTGGCCTGAAGCTCTCTGGCCTTAAACTCAGATCTCCTTGCCTCTGTTTCCGAAGTGCTGTGATTAAAGGTTGTGTGCCATCACTCCCAGTTGCGCGCGCACGCACACACGCACACACACACACTTTTATTGAAAGTAACTACAAAACTCATTTATGTCATGTACCAGTAAAAGAAAACCTAAGCTTCAGTGATTCAAATTTCTAAAATGACTACTAGGGATTGTTTGCCTATTCAAGTCCTGTGTATCTTCCCTATTATATAAGACATGACTCCAAGTTTAGACCTTCTCCCACTTGTTAAGGTATTAATTGTATTAAATATACCACAATCAACACGCATAGTGGTACACACCTTTAATCCTAGTACTCAGGAGGCAGAAACAGGCAGATCTGAGTTTGAAGCCAGTCTGGGATACACAAAAGACTCTTACAAAACACAAGAATATCAGAATGGGTACAAAGGACCTTTACTTTGCATACTCAGCAGATGCTACCTTGGTTTCATCTATTAAAAAGCATATGAAGTGAATAGAATTCTCTCCTTAACATATGATTAACTCTAAGATTAGCAAGCCTTATTTCCTGGTCCTTTTGAAACAAATACCACCTCCTTTTAAAGGACTGCATACAAGACTCAATGACACAAGTAGATGAGCCCTTACTAACCAACTCCTCCAACCTATGTGAATCGAAATTTGTTTCTGCTGACTACATAGTATGTACCAACTAGGTATGCTATGGCAATGGCTTCTGAACTAAATTAGCAATGTGATGTGTAAACCAGGAGTGGTTATAAGGCTTGAGAGTCAAAGCTCCTCGATGACATGATGGCACAATTTCATCCCTCTTCAAAATACCAGTGGTGTTTTGATAAATAATTCTATATTTATCTTTAACTGTTAAGATTTTTTGCGATTATATATATGAAAAACTAATGGCTAATATGTCAAACATATCAGCAAAATGAGAACTTTACAAATACAAGTAGTTTAATTCTAGACTGTTAAAAGGATTGAAAACAAAGCTTTTTGTCTTTTTTCCTCTTGTAGTCCTGGAGACAGAACCTACTACTGCCTCACACACCCAAGGCAAGCTCTTTAGAACTTTACCATGGGTTATATTCCCATTCCAAACACAAAACTTTCCCCAGGACAATTCAGCAGAGTACAAAACACCTGACTACTTCTGTGCATTTATGTGTGCCTTCATGAACTTAGGTATGCTCCATTCATCTAGGTGTTCACAGAAGCCAGAGGGCATCAGATTCTCTGGAATTGCAGTTATAGGCTACCTGTAAGTGATCTTAACAGCTAAGCCATCTCTAGCTCCCAACAATGTTCTTTCAAATGAAGAAATTTCAGAAGCACGCTTTTAAACTGTTGTGGCCTATTCTAACAAAAATGTAAAAGGGCTGGAGAGAGATGGCTTAGCAGTTAAGAGCACTGGCTTCAGTTCTGACACCTGGCATCCACTTCTGGCCTCTGTGGGTACCTACATATATGGTATTCACACATGTACACATGCACAATTCTTAAAAACAAAAAATTGTCAAAAATTTACAATAAAAAATACACTGAGCAATGAAGCATGATACATGCCTTCTCCATCTTAATCCTGGGTAAAATACAAAATATCCCACCAAACTCAACTAATTTTTTTTGTTTAATGTTTCAATGTTTTAAGAACTTTTGTATAAAGTGACAAAGTTCCATTCTGACATGGACTTGAGCCCTCTAAATTTTGTTTTTGTTCAGAGTCCGTTGGAAATCTTTTAAGTCACTCAATTGTTGCAAAAAAAATTATTCAGTTTTGAATAAAATAAAATTATGTGCATGTGTGCTCATAGGCATGCACATCTGGGTTTGTAAAGCTACCATGTGGCTGCTGGGAAGCAAATAAAGTTCTACATGAACAATAAGTGCTCTTTTAACCATTGAGCATCTCATTAGCTCCCACAGTAGTAACTAACTGCTCTAATGCATTTTGGAAAAGCAACAAAAGTCTGTCTTTCCTGTATCACCCCGACTGGTCTCATCATGGGTTCAACTAATCCTTTATGTCAGCATCCTGAATAGCTACAACTATAGTTGTGAGCCCAATTAAGAACTAGGTTGCTGTGGGATGTTCTGTATGCTGTGAATCTATGTCGCTCTGTTTGGTTAACATGTGGCAACATACAGATTAACAGAAATGGACTAAGTGTAAGAGCTAGTCAGTAGTAGGCCTGAGCTAATGGCCGAGCAGTTTTAATTAATATAAGTCTCTGTGTGTTTACTTGAGTCTGAGCGGCTGCAGACCAGGTGGGACACAGAAAAAATTCAGTTACACTAAGTTTTAAATGCAGCTTTTTAATAATGCCACTAAAATGTCTCCGATTTGCTTTTTAATAAATGCTTCTTAAAAAATTATAATACTAAGCAATAGTTGGGTATGGTGGCAGACACCTGTGATCTCAGTATTAAGAAGGTTGAAGCAGGAATATCACTGGAAGTTGAAATCAAGCACGAGACTCTGTATCAAGACTTGGTTCATAAATATATAATTCAACAATCTCTGTGGACTGACTCAATGTGTGAAGTAAAGATAATACTAGCCGGGCGGTGGTGGCGTACTCCTTTAATCCCAGCACTCAGGAGACAGAGGCAGGTGGATCTCTGTGAGTTTGAGGATAGCCTAGTATACAGAGCAAGTTCTAGGACAGGCTCCAAAGTTACACAAAGAAACCCTGTCTTAAAAACAAAAAAGACAATACTAAAAAGAAATAAAGCAAGAAATCAATTAAGTAAACTGGTTAACATGTAAGTGAAGAATCATGCAGGAAAATCGATCCCACCCAGTTCATTTAATCAGGATATGAAAAATCTAAGTTGGAGAGGACAATCTAGAAACAAATTATCAAATATTTAGACATTAGGATTGGTTTCGTATACCCTGAGAAAGTTCTAAGAATGCATTCCGAAATAATTCAACATTAAGAAGGGATTGGATACCCTGAAAGTGACTAAGAACTTCAAGGAAGGAGGAAAAAAAAAAAAGGCAGTTGTGTAACAGTGAAATATCCAACTGCTCAAGAATAACCAGTCTAAGATTAACTACACTAAAAAGTCAAT